ATATATATATATATATATATACACACACATATATATATATATATACTGAACAGCTATGCTGTGGCCTTATCTGTATTAGGAGCTAGGGATACTATGGTCAGTCAAACTACTCATGGTTTCTGCTTTGAATTGCTGAAAGAATTGCACAAATGCATATGTAGCAACTGCATTAAGTGACTAGGAGGGATGAGTACTACCAGAATGCTATAAGAATGTTCTGGAGAGGACTCTAACTTAGAGGTGGGGGTACCACGAAATATCCTTGATGAAGGGATATGAATGCTGAGACCTAAGGATGTACAGGAAGCTATCCAGACCGAGAGTGGAGTTAGGGCCATTCTCGGGCCAAAGAAACATAAGGTACAGTTGGCTTTGAAGCTGAAAAGAGCCATAGCACAAAAGGGACCTCTACCTCATCTACCCACTCCCAGTCTGTCACCCCCTGCCCCTGGCTTTTCCATTTCTTAAAACTCTCCTATCTTGGTACCACTTGCAAGGCAGGTGTGGTGCCGCTGAGCTAAATCCCTAGCCCCAAACTCTCCTATCTTAAGAGATAGTGGTTGAAGCATTCCACTTTCTGATCACTAACTCACTACTTGGATCATTTTTCAACCCCTTTGGGGCCCCCAATATCGACTTTGGTGTTACTCCCAACCAGTAGGCTTTCTCACACCCTCAGTTTTCTTTTGTTTATATAACTTTATTCAGAAATAATACATATGCATATAACTAAAGTGTACAATTTGATAAATGTTAATATATACATTCATGAGATAATCACCATAAATAGGATAATGAACATATCCATCACCCCCTAAAATTTGCTTATGCCTTGTTGTGATCATTCCTTGTATCCTGCACCCAAGCTAAACTAAATTGCAACCCCTTACACCTTGTGTCCTGTACTCCAAGGTAAATTCAGTTAATTCTGGTAGCTCTTTTGGATGGATTCTGTCAACTTTTCTACACCTCTGTCCTTTTCCCTCCTCAGAAGTGAATGTTATGAATTCCTCAGTAAGTATTCTCTCAAAACTTTACCTATTCCTTTAATATAGTGTTATGGTTTGGATCTCAAATGTCTGCCAAAAGACTCGTGTATTCAGAGATTGGGCCTTTGGAAGGTGATTAATTCATTGAGCATTACACTCAGCAGTGGATGAATATAATAATTAATCCATATACTGTTAATAATGTTGATATTGTTAATATGTGAGGCCTAGTTAGAGAAGAGGAGGATGTTATGGTTTTCATTTAAAATGGTTCCAAAACCTTGTGTTTGGAAAATGATTGGATCATGAAGGAGTTATAGCTGACTTATTTTAAAGAGGTGGGATCTGATTAAAAAAGGCAGGTCACTTGGGGCCTGACCTGGAAGGGTAGATCTCCCTTTCCAGCTCCTCCCTTCACTCTCTGCTTCCTGGTCACCATGATGTGAACAGCTTTTGTCCCCTAGACCCTTCCATTATGTCTTCCTGCCTTGGAGTCACCTGACTATGAATTAAAAACATGAGCCAAAATATACTTCTGCTCCTTTAAATTGTAGGTATCAGGTATTTTATCCCAGCAATGAAGAAACTTAAGATTTTGGTACTAGGAGTGGTGTCATTGCTATGACTACTTGACTATATGACTTAGAGGCCATTGGAACTGGTGGTGTTTATGGGTGGAGTTTGGAAAGTTTTGGAGATATCAGCTAGAGAAGCCCTAAAATGCTATCAGATGAACTTCATGGAGAATTCTGGTCAGACCTCAAAGAGCAGAATGCTGATAAAAAGGCAGATAGATGGTAAAGACCAGGCTAAGTAGGTTTCAGTTTGGAGCAAGGACTCCATTTGCAGTTGGACTCCAGGCCATGTGTTTTATATTTTGGCAGTAAATTTGTCTACATTTTGCTTATGTCCTGAGACTTTGTGGGAGACAGGCAAAGGGCAGTAGGCTAATTAATTTTGTGGAGTAAATTCAAAGGCAACCCAATGTTTAGCCTGTAGCATGAATACTGCTTGCTGCTTTTAGTGAGATTCACACTGAGAAAACAGGAGCAAAAATCCATTTTTAAAAGTTCTGAGTGTCCCCACAAAGGAAGGTCCTGTGAAGATCATGTCTTAAAGAAGGAAATTGCTGAAAAGATTAAAAAGAAGCCAAATACTTTACATCAGAACAATAGGAAGGATGCCTTAAAGACATTCCAGGAAATGAGAAGAAATCCTTCCTTTGTCCTGAAAAAGTGAAAGACTTCTTTCAGAAGAGAGTCACAGAGTGTTCTCCTCTTTCTGGGCAGAAGAAAGAACTCTGTTTCCCAGAGTTCAACCATCCAGGCACTCAGAGGCCTCTGTAGCCATGATCTAAGGGGGTCCAGCTACTGGTCATGTGCAGCAGATGTTGGTTTCATTCACGTAGTGCTGGTTTTATGGGAATGCAAAATGCAAGAGTCATAGGGTCAGGGAAGCTTCCACTCAGATTTCATAAGAAGGCACAAGTGGGCAAGCAGTGTGTTCCTGAGAGGGCAGTGCACGAAGCTGTAAGTGAAGCCAAAAGTTCAATGAAGACCTCAGGAAGTTGGAGATTCCAGAAAAGTGGAACATCTCCTGAGGAAGATTGCAGGCAGAGCAAGGCCACTCCAAGCAAGAAGCCATGAGCGCTACAACAGGTGGTACAGTGGTGATCGGGCAGCCCAAGCCCTTTAGAGTTAACATCATCACAGTTTGTCTCAGGTGCCAGACATGCAGCTACAGGGTTTAATGTTTGTGTTGCTGGGTTTCATTCTTGCTTTGGTCCCACTGGCTTCTGCCCCTCTATTCCTCCTTTATGAAATGGGAATGTTTACCCTGTACTATTGTTTGTTGACATTGTTTAATTTTCTTTCTTATTTTTATAAGAGCTCACAACTAGGAGTTTGCTTTTAATCTCATAGGAGACTTTGGACTTGGATTTTCCAGCAATGATGAAACTGTTAGGACTTTGGCAACTCTTAGAGATGGACTAAATGCATTTTTCATAAATGGATACATATCAGTCTTTTGGAGGCCAGGAGCGGAATGTTATGGTTTAGATTTAAAATGGATCCCATATCCTCATGTATTTGGAAGGTGACTGGATTATAGGGTAGCTAAAGAGGACTTGATGTGAGGAGGAGAGTGTCTGGTCAGAAGAGCTGGGTCCCTGGAAGGATAACCTAGAAGGGTATCTTCCTCTGCTCTGTTTTTTTTCACTCCCTGCTACCCGGATGCCATGACATTAGCAGCTTTGCCCTACCAAACCCTTCCTCCTTGGAACCAGATGACTACAGATTGAATCCTCTAAAAACCATGAACCAAAATAAATTTCTCCTCCTTTAATTTGTGGGTGTTGGGTATGGTGTTTCAGTAATGAGGAAGTTACTAAGTTATACTCATACATGTAAATATATACACACATAACTTGGTTTTATTACACTTGAATAGGATCCTTCCATAAGTATTATTCATTGTCTTGCTTTCTCTCTCAAATGGTAGTGATCATTCCATCTTAGATCACGTATATTCACTTTTTCCTTAGTTGGAAAGATGTCTTAATAACTTTCTCCTTCCTGAGAGAAAATACCCAACACCCACAAATTAAAAGAGGAAAGGTTAATTTCAGCTCAAAGTTTGTAGCGGTTTCAGTTCATAGTCAGCTGACTCCAAAGCAGGGTGGCATGGCAGAGGAGCATCACTGAGGAGAAACATTTCATGGCATGGCAGGCAGGGGACAGAAAAGCAGCAAGCAGTGAGCCTGCTTTTCCCTATCATCCCAAACAGGCTACAAACCTTTTGGGTGGTGCCACTTACACTCAGGGTGGGGCTTCTGTCTTCAATAAATCCATTCAGCCACACCCAGAGCTATGCTGATTCCAATCTGTGGACTCATTTAGCACCACACACCCTTAATCCCACTATCACATACCCTAGATCCAGTGCCACACACCAATGATCCAGCCACCTCTCAAAAGCCCCACCTATTTGTGCATGAAGCATTGGGAGGACACTAGATACAAGCCATAACAACAGGAAAAATATAATTCAGTGCTTACAAAATTGTTTTAGTCTTATTTTTATTTCTTTAACCAATTTTTTCTCAATTTTTGTTTTTTATTAGTACATGTTTGTAGTACATAATGATCACATTCCTTGTAGGGAGTTGGCATGTGCACATTGCGTATCTTAATTTTTTACATCCCTTTCCTCTCTCCTTCCTCCCCCTTTCTTCCAACTCTTGGTCCCCTACCCATTTGCAAAAGATCGGTCTCCCTACTTCCTATAACCAAATTCTTGAGACTAGCCAATTTAGAGAGCAAAGTTTATTTAGGTTCACAGTTCTGAGGCTGGAAAGTCCAAGGTTAGTGGCCTCATCAGGTGAGGACCTTTGTAGCATGGTGGAATATGAAAGGCATGTGAGAAAGAGGCAAAAACACAAGGTGCAGCCTCACTTGATGACAGTCCTTTAGAGCAACTTTTCTATCTATATCTCCTGAGACCAGACCCATTCCTAAGAGAGGCTTTAAAATCGCTCTCCATGACCTAATCACCTTAAGATCCTACCTCTCAACATTACTGCATGGCAATCAGATTCCAATATGGGTTTCAGAGGGAATAAGCTATATTCAAACTACAGCAAAAATTTAGAAATGCAACTAAGTAAAAAGCAAGCTTTTCTTTCCATCCATTCCTAAACCGTATTCTCTGCCTCAGTGGTAAGTACTTTCATGAGTTTGGTGTGTATCTATTTAAACTTTAGACATAATATTAGGGGACAGGCAGGGTGTAAATCGTGTATCTTCCACGTGCTCTTTTCCTTTCTGCCCTCATTCCAGAATAAATGATTTCAACAGTGTCATATGACATGACCTGTATTAATATAAGAGAAGCTGATAGGGCCAGGGATTTAACTCAGTGGTGCCGCTACCTGCCTCACAACCGCAAGGTCCTGAGTTCTATCCCTGGTAT